CAGTAATCCCACCACGTGTCTGAGAATGTTGTCTAAATGCTTCCTGAGCTCCGTCATGCTGGTGCTGTGACCACTTCCCTGAGGAGCCTCTTTCAGTGCCCAACCCCCTGGTGAAGAACCTCTTCCTAATATCCACCCTAAACCTCTCCTGACACAGCTTCATGCTGTTCCAAAGCCCTTGTTTATGAGACCTAATGACATGTGAGGCCAGCGCAGATGATCCATACTTTCCCTTTCCCTTTTTCTTTCCCTTTCCCACAGAAATTTATAACTTTCACAGTGTTTGATGCTCATGGGCACAAGCTGCCTTGCAGATAATGCTGTCCCTTGATGGTACCCAAGGTTTAAAATTTGGGTAACCGCTGACACTGGTCAGTGACTTTGCTTGGGGCACATTGTGTCAGGGAAGGAAATGTCTTACACCATACAAATATGACAGGATGGATCCATTCCAAAATCAAATTAATCCCTTAGGGGAAAAAACATGCCAACAAATGGGTTTCATTACTGAAACTGCAAGAAGCTCCTGGAAAACCCCACAGGTAGAAAAGGGGACACATTAATTCAGCACTTCATCCAGTCCACACGGTCCACAGTCTGTCACATTAATGCTGCATTCAAAGGCAGGATTTAGGAGACAGGTTCATTGCAAGGCTACAGCTGTGACAATCTTAACTTCACATCAGAGTAAACCACATGAAAGATCTTAGCCTTAGGAAAGCTGCCTGTAATGAAAAGCAGCCATGAAAAGCCCTTTTCACATCTCTTCTATCCTTACTCTCTCTCTATATCAACCTATTTATGTATATAATTTTACCTACCAAGAAGGTATAGAAGACATAACCTGACTCTTCCAAGAGATGTGCAGTGAAAGGTAACAGATACCAACTGAAACATTGGGAATTCTGATTAGATTTTTTTTTCATGAGGATGGTCAAACACTGAAATTGCATCAGAGAGGTTGTAGGATCTCTGGATTTGGAGAGATTGCTAGTTTAACTGAACCAAGCCCTGAGGAACCTGCTAAAAATTGGTCCTGCTTTCAGCAGCAGGTTGGACTATATCAACCCCACAAGTCACATTCATCCTAAATTATTGTGTGATTTTTCTTAGGTAAATTTGGAACCAGACTGCAGGTCCTTAGTAAATATGAATATATTTGTATAATACTTAACTGACCCTCTGCACTGATCAAGAATGGAGACAGGCTGCCAGTACTCAGCTAAAAGGAATAATGGCACTACCCACACAATACCCACAAGAGTCAGCACCCACACTGGAGGGCTCTGCACTCAGAAACCTCCTCCAGTGCACTCAATGAACACTTCATCCATCATGGACTCAATGTGTCCAGGGAGATTCTATTCATACTCTGCTGTGTTCAACAGAACTGTGACTACAGGCCCCTGGTTCCATAGTGAAACCTTCTAGAATATGATGCACTGAAAGAAAGATTACTGGAGAGTTTTTAAAAAAAATGGTATAGGATCTCAAAATGTATCTTATTCTATCTGAAGGGCTAAAGTTTCAACTAGGAGGATAATTTCAAGGCATGCAATCTTAAGAGAGCACTGTGAGAGACTGGGAGTATTTACACATACTGAAAGAAACATTTATGATCTGATGATTTAAAGTGATATCTATTGATGCCCAAAGGTATTTTTGGGCCCATACTTTCTTGTTTTTATGTAGTTGTTTGCCAACTACTGACAATCTGTTTAGAAATACCAAGTAACATGAAATCTGGAGGTGTATCAGTGTGTGAGCGTCCACTCCAAAACCTCTGAGAAAATAACCTTCAGGAATGGCAATCAGCCAGAGAAGCAGTTTGAAGCCAGCTAAGATAAGAATAAATATTCATGGCAGCTAAGGATTTTTGCATTTAATACCATTCTGCTAATGCAGATAAATATTCAGATTTCCCTGGCTTCTGGAGAGTAAACCTGATTTTAAAGAGAAATCCACACAACAGCATCCAAACAACATTACAACTGCTGGTAAGGGTTTTGGCTGATGTGTTACCCTAGTTTTTACAGACCAAATGAAATTTCAGCAATTTAAACATCTACATCAGACAACAGATGCAGAAATATTCATGCTCTGTATCACTGCTGCCTGTGGCAGAGGGGTGGCTCTACCATACTGTGCACCACCACGCTGTACTTGTGCCTTTCAGAACTGTACTTCATTCACAGGTAAAGCACCTCTCACTTATTTTGACATCTTTGCATTGAATAGTATCATCCAAAGCTAATATTCTACTACCTTTACTCCTACCAATTTGTCTCTGTGCTAAGGCAAATGTTTCTGTGGTATGAATCCCAAGTTCACAGTTGAGTGTAACCAACTCTGAAGTGATGACTACCTTCACAAGACTCAGTTTACAGGGAAGATACACAGCTGAACTAGAGTTAACCATGCTATTGCAGCTGTCAATCATGCTACAGCATCAGAGCTACAGAACCTCCTAACCAGGTAGCACTTTCCTCTCCAGATGACCAAGAAACCAGAGTTGCATCCTGTCCCCACCACAAATTCAAGTTACATCACATGCAGAAGAATACGTAGAATAAATTATTCAAAGGGAAGCAGAATCAAAGAAGATAATTTCCTTTCCTCTGCAGATTCACAAGCAAAAGAATAACTTTGTTCTACAGCCCATTATTAAAACTTCCACAACTAACCACACCACAAGACACTTGTACCCCAGCTGGATGCTACAGGAGGCTGTGACTGCAGGACCACTTCAGAACATGATCTTTAAATTGTTTTCAATGCACCTTCAGACTTCATGAAAGGAAATGAGCAAGATGACAGATGGACCAGCTGTGTTTTATTTTTTTCATGAAACAGCTCTCAGACTGCTTTAGCTTACTGCATCTTATTCCTTTTGTTCTGTACCTTCGTTTCTGGATGTCTCTTTAGAGTGAACACTCACACTTTCTCTTCCCTCTTCTCTCTTGTGACCGTAGTTCCTGTAAAAGGTCCAGAAAGGAGGGCAAGTAGCTCCTAAACAATTCTAGCTGTCACACTTCTAGCTGGACAAAAAGGGGCAAGAGGAATGTAATTAAAAGGGGAAATGCAGGCACAGGGCAATGAGGGAGCAGGGTTTTTCTTCCCCAGGCTTTCACTAGTCTTAAGCAAATCACTTCCCTTACACATTGCTGTACATTAAATTAATATTAAATTGAGCAGGGTTCTGGCAGGATTTCCAAAGTACAATGATCAGCTACCAGTGTACAGGTTTGAGGCATCAAACCATTCTGAAATTCAAGGTGTTCAGCTCTCTTAGACATCAAGCACAAATTTTAAAATAATTAAGATAATCAGTGCATGAGTCCTAGTTAAGAGGTTACTTTCAGCATCAGAGCTATTGGAACAGCCCTACCCATTCAGATGGTCAGCCTCTCCACCTTTTAAAAGTATACCAGAGATCACAGCAGCCAATGCATTTATTCTTTCATTAAACATATACTTATCCTATCCCAAATCTTTGCATGATCCTGAGAATTCTCACTCCAGTGAGAATGACTTGAAGACATACAGACCATGGGTTTCACCTTTGTGAAGAAAACTATTTACATGTAAGGGTGCAACAGTTTACTAGAGCGGTTACTTTGTAAAAAATAATGGGAAAAGAGTGTTCCAGCTGAGAGCTGTGAGTGTTCCATCCCTTCTGGGACTTCTGCCAGTGTTAGAGACTTTGCTGTAGCAAACTTTTTACAGGATCTCACTATCTCTGTTAGATGGACTATGCCCAGAGTGTGCCAAGACAGAAAATCTGAATGCTGCACTGAAGTGGCCAGCAACAGGACAGTAACAGTAACATTAGCACCTGACCCAAGGGGAGGATGGCTAATTTAACCTTCTGTCTTGTTCCAGTAGAAGTGCCCAGTGTCCATCTCTATTTCTAATATTGTATTTACCATTACCAATCTCTTAAACTGCTCAGCCAGTTGATGGTGATCCCTTCAACTACGGCATCAGATGCAAACCAAGAATGGCTAGACAGGAGATGGATTATATCATTGGCAAAATGAGAAGTTTTAGGCTGTGACTGGCTTCCAATTACTGTCTTCCTGTGACTCTGGAAGTGACTCGTGTACAGACACTCAAGACCATGCCGCTGAGCCTCCAGATTAAAAATAACAAGTTAAAAGTTGGGAAATGTTTAATATGTGAAAAGCAACGATCTTAAGATATTTGAATGGCAAGTCACTGAAGGTACATCTGGCATGGGAAGGTGCACCTGTGGCACAGTTTGGCCCAGCGGGCAAGCAGCCCGGCTCGCCGGTGGCTCACACGAGGAGCCTGCAGAGCCCTTGGCCTCCCCTCCCCTCCCCTCCTGCCCCCCTCCGAGGCTTCCAGTGCCTGCCCGCAGCGCCAGCCGGCAGCGCGGCATCCCTGTCCCCAGGCATCCCTGTCCCGAGGCATCCCGGTCCCGAGGCATCCCGGTCCCGCCGCATCCCTGTCCCGAGGCATCCCTGTCCCGAGGCATCCCTGTCCCGAGGCATCCCTGTCCCGAGGCACCCCTGTCCCGAGGCATCCCGGTCCCGAGGCATCCCGGTCCCGAGGCATCCCTGTCCCGAGGCATCCCTGTCCCGAGGCATCCCTGTCCCGAGGCATCCCGGTCCCGAGTCATCCCGGTCCCGCCGCATCCCGGTCCCGCCGCATCCCGGTCCCGCCGCATCCAGGCCCAACCGGCACATGTCAGAGCCTTTTCCATGGAGCCAGTTCTCCCTGAAGCCTCAAATAACCAGACCCCCAGCCCGAGGACAGGGTTCGGGGCGGTTCGAAGGCACAGATTTGGGAACCACCGAAGAGAGCCGGGCGCTGACAAAGAGCTCGGGGCTCTCCCCAGCGCCCCGCACGCTGCAGCCCCGCACGGACCCGCGGCTGGGCTCCGATGCCGGCCGGCTGCGGGGGCCGCGGGCTGCCAGGAGCCCGCCCAGGGCACAGCCTGTTGCCGGGCACGCTAGGTACAAAGGCAAAGCACAGACCTTCTCCCTGGCCTCTCCGCGGGGAGGCTGCGCTCGTCCTGCCGGCTGCGGCCGCGGTGCCGGCGGGGAGCTGGGGCCGGCCGCGGTGCCTCAGCGGCTCCGCATCGATCCGCCCGCCGGCAGCCGCGCTGCTCTGCTCTCCACCCCTCCTTCCAGGGGGACAAAAACGGGGCTGGGGGGAGACCTTTCTATTATTATTATTCTAATATATTCTGGGGGCTTGTGGTTCCTGCAGCCAGGCGGAAGTGAACCCGCTTTCGCCCCCCTCCTCCTTCCGCGATGCTCCGGGGCGGGATGCGGGCGGCCCCAGCAGCCCGGGGTCCGCTCCCGGGGCCCGGCTCCCGCAGCCCCCGGGCGGCAGCGGCGTCCCGGCCCCTTGCTCCCCGGGCGGAATGGGGACGCGGGGCCGTCCCCGAGAGGCAGAGGTTACTCGAGAGGCAGAAAGGAGCCAGTAATTTTCTCCACCCCAGTGATGGGCAGGCTGCCCGGGGCGCGCTCGGCGGCCCCAGAGCCCGCTGAGGGCAGCGGTGCCCTCAGTGACGCGCGGGCACAGCACCAGAGGAGAGGCTACAAAAAGCACCGGAATACAAAGGTGTCCGCTGGCTCCGTAGTGACATCCCGTGGTGTGGGGACACTACTGCCGATGGCCGGCTGAGCCCGGGGCTTACCCAGGCCCCCGCAGCTTTGCGGGGCTCCGTCCGGGGCCATCGGTGGCTTGCTGTTAGAGCAGCGCTCTGCTGCTGCTGCACTGCTCCGCTGCACAAACCCGGCACTGTGGGGTCTGTGCCTTCCAAACGTGTCACATCTACAGACCTCGGGAGAGCCACGAGGGCTCCGAGCTGAGCTCTGCCGCTGGCCTCGTGCCTAGGCTGAGGGGCAGAGTGAGAGACACCGAATGAACATCCATCTAACTAAGGCAAATGTTAATTTCTTAATTCAGCATGTGCCATCATGTTGAATCAGACTTGCAGAACATCTCCCTTAGCCAAGAGGCACAGTGAAGATGAGGTGGTAAAACTCTCCTCCCTAAGCCTTTGCTACTCTAGAGAACTCTCCTGTCCTCCTTCCCTGTCACACAGCACAATGGGATGCTCTGATGGTCTGTGCCAGAAAAGGCAAGAAGAGAAAAGACAGTGAAAAAGATGCTCTGATGGTCTGTGCCAGAAAAGGCGAGAAAAGATAGTGAAAAAGACCTGAACTCAGGGACCAAAACGCCACAACCTGTCCATAGTCAGAAGGAAAGCGTGAAACTGGCACTTAGGCACAGCAGAGCTGAATGCATTCCAGCTTACAGGATGCTACTTGTAATGGGGACGTGGTGGCATCAACCTACAAATGTCTCCACAGCCCCTGGCAAGCTTGGTAAGATCCAGGCCACCATATTTACAAAGCTTAGATTGCCCAGACCAGAAAGATTAAGGCTAGTCTAGGCAGGCCTGAACACACAGCAACTGAAACTCCTGATAATTGTTCTGTGGCATAGGGGTACAGGGTTGTGTGGGTGTAGATGGGTTGTAAAAGGCTCTTCTAAACTCTGCTACAGCAGTAACTCACATCAAATGATGCACATGCTCACAAGAAATGACTGGGACACTTTACTCAGATCTCTGTTGTCCCCAGAAGTCAACTGCTCTCAACATCATGGTGGAACTTAAACTTTGTAAAAGTGAAATGGTCGATGAAGCTGGTTGGTATCTCTTTGGTCCAGTGTCTTGTTTAAGACCTGCCACTCTGGACTGTGCAGATTCACCTGTGTGCTCAGTTTTGTGTTAAACATTTCCTTCACATCCCAACAGTGGCAGAGTTTCTTAGTCAGCTGCTGCATCTGTCTCACAGCCTCAGGGTGTCTGTGTCCTCCACATTGCCAGTGGATGGCTGACCAACCATGTCAGCAGAAATGCCCTCTTCCAGGTGGGACTGGCCAGACAACTGCACCTCATCCTAAGGAGTGCACGCCTGGACACACTGGTGCATAAATTGTGTCTTGCAGCTTGATTACTGCAATTCTCTGTACTTTAAAATAAACCACAGCAGGTGTAAAATAAAGCACACGTCTGCATAGCAAAGGAGAGCAGTGTGGTGCTTTGCTCACCCTAGATTCTTACTAAGGTCTTCTCTTCTGATATTCAATGCCTTTCATAATCTTCCATAGCCAGCTCCTACTGGAGCACTGCCACCATTGACCAAGGGGTGAGAAAAAAACTGTGGGAGTTTCACATTTCCCATGCAGTATTTATGCACTGTGGAACTTTGTTTGCCTCACAGAGATAGAAATAACCCAGATCTGAATGCAGTAAAAGAGGCAAATGTAAAATTTATCTCTTGAGCTTCATTTCTTCACACACAATCATGTAAAGGAGGCTGGTAGGCAGCCCAACAAATCCAATCCCTATAGTCTAATCAAGCTATTCCTGTTAGTGGCTAGATAGAAAGGTGAAGGAAAGGCTTTTTTCTGTTTTAAAATACTTGGGAGGCACACAAGTCCTACAGAGATGGGAACCATCTAAATATATGTAAAGACACAGTGAGATAAATTAACCCATCTGTTGTAATCTAGTAGTTAAATAATACCAATTAAAAAGATTTAAAATTTCATGAAGCCACTAAAGCACTATTGATGTTTTCAAGTTTTTAAAATTCTTCTCCAAAGTGTATGAATGTAGGAAATCAACCATCTCCTGTCAGATTCCTGAACCACATGGAAAGGAACAAGGCTGTGCATGAAACTGATGCAAACAAATCCGTGGTGCTATTAAAGCAAATTGCCACTAACAATCTGACACAGACTATTGCAAATTGCTCCTCACACCCCAAGACACATTGCTGATTTCCATGATATGTCTGCACACACATCCATCACTATTCTTCTTCCATCCCAGGGATCTCAAAGCACCTCACAGATGGTGCTTAAATGAAGGCCTAAACCACCTTCACTCTTTTTCCACTGTAAGCACAGAGATGTGTTCATCATCCAAGAGGAAGTATTAAAATGACTGGAAAGATGAAAGTGTCCTATCTGCACATATGCCTTGCTCTTCCAACTAGATAGCACTTCCAGCACATCTGCTTGCAATTAGAGAAAGTTGTTCCCTTGAAGACTGCCCTGAGCCATCCACTGACAGCTTTACAGGCAAATCAGGGCACAGCAGCAGTGCTTTGCTACATCCCAATGAATGATGCCATTCAGTTCTGTGTCTGAAGAGCCACACAGCAGCTATAGAGCAGCACTCAATATACTGTGAATTCACACAGGCTTTTGTTGGTTTAGAATGCACACTTCTGGTACAGCCAGGTGACAGATACAGGATACAGTCAAAGGTTTTCATACATCAGAGAATCCTACAAAACATACAGGAAGAGAACATAAGCACCCAGTGTATCAGCCACCATCTCACAAGCATGTTGTGTGTGCTCTGAGACCTCCCAACCAAGCAGGCTTACTGGGAAGTGGAAAAAGAAATGCACTGACCAGAGAGCTGTAGAAGGCCAGTGAAGTACCCTTAGAAGTGTTTTCCAATAAATGTGCAGGCAGATTGAGCTTCCTCTCTTCCCTTTCCTCTTCAATACATGCACACGCCCAATCTCAGTGTGATTTATGTTGTCATATTTCTCTGGGTAGCCTCCATGCCTAGAGTACAGTCTGAGAGCAGGAATCTGAGGAACAGGCAGCACTGGGGATTTGATATGACAGTTCAGCCCTGAAAAATGTCCTCAATTAAATTACAGAGATAACCCACAGACATCAAGAGGTTACCAAAACACACATCCAACAACACTGGCCATTAAAAAGTCACCAGCTGTGCTACTCACTGTGTTTGGTTACTGTCTTCCTGGGAGAGAAGTGAAAATACCCCAACATTCAGTCCCACAGCCCATGAGCCAGCTCTGCCTCGGTGTGAGGGTGTATGTGTAGAGCATTACATATGGAATACCTGTGGCTATGGGCACCATGAATGTTAGAACAAAAGAGAGAGTTGGCCATACCTGGTCACTTCTTGAGATTGTATCTGGGTTGCCTCTGTAACATCCTTTTCTATGTTCCTGGTTTTGTTTGAGTTTTTCTTCTAGAATTTGGGAACTGCCAGTGTCTATAAAAAAGTACATATACCAACTGATAAATGCTACAATATGAAGAAACAATATGCCGTTAATAAAATGCAGATGAATTATAAAAGGAAATTAATGGTCTCAAACCCCACAAATTTGAGATAAAAATTCGTTCTGCTGCATTTCGAGTAATTACAAGAGAAAAATGCTGAAGACTGTTTCTTCTCAAAACTTGGCAATTTTATATTATGCTACTATATTCTTATTGAAAAATGGTGCTTTTATATTCACTACCCCTTTTTTTACTTTGGCCAGTGTTGCAGCCAAACATCTGCTTGTTAATTCAGCAGAGTAAGTTAATGGTTAGTAATCCAGGAGTTTCCAGAGAAGATCCCCACAGATATTTCCTAAGTAAAATTCTCTCTAAAGCTTTTTAAGAATGCACTTAGGAGGAAAAAACAGAAATACCTAGACAAAGTATCCATGTGATTGTTTGGATAAGTTGGGCTCTTCTCCTAAAGAGCCTCAGTGGAGGATTTGGGGCAGGTTTTCAGCTGAAGGCAATCAAAAGCTGCGTGCAAGTTTCATTCTGAATATGACAGTGTGACTGAAGAAAGCTGGGAGTGCAGGAAATGAGGCTAAAAGCAATAGTGAGGTAGCAGATAGTTCACTGCTCACAGGATTCATTCCTTCCTGTCTTTAGACAGTCATAGAGAAAAATTAATCATGATTACTACAGTTACACATTCTGAGCCTCTTCCTGCTCACATGTTGACCTATCTCTATACCAGAAAAATTCTTAGGAGCCAGCCCAGCCTCACCAAATATATCCTCAACAGACAGAATCCTGTATATCTAGGATTTAAGAGACAAATCCCCCAAAAGCCCACTGTCTAAGCAGATATAGCCTAGGCAATCGTCAGCAAGCCTCCCAGATCCCTGGCTTACATTGTCTCTGCATGCTGTGCTGGAGTAATGGAGCAGTGTCAGGCCTTGGGGCTCTCAGGAGAAGGTACTAAAAAGGCACATTACATTGCTAGACTTTAGCAGCAGCACTCCCACCAAATGCCCTTTTATTCATATTGTTGACAATCAGTTATCATGTACCAGGATTGAGACCAAAAAATACTGCTGGTAAAAATAGTGTTTTCACAGAATGATTTTTAAAAGATCTGAAAGAAACCATG